ATATCACTGAGCTGACTGAAAATCTGTCAGGAAATGACTCTGACAAGAAAATGAGGCACTGAAAGTTACACTGTAACTTAAAATACGGAAAAGAGTAAAGAGAAAAGATGCTTAGTTAACAATATATATATGGGGAAAATATTAATGAATTAATTACTACTCTGCGAATGCAAATTAAATTACTTTTCTACTAGAGAGGAGGCATAAGATCATAATAGTCATCAGATAGACTAGTTGCTTCCATTGGAATTGCTTCACTGTGACACGTTACTTTGGGGGCCCAAAAGTTTCCTTCTCAGTTACACAGCTGCCAACACCAATATCACACATTCTCAACTACTCCCTTAGATCACCATATAGCAGCAGAGCTGCTCCCTTCTCTGTGCAGAGGGTGGACACTGAAAGTGAAGAGCAAGGGCTGACCAGTCTATTCCTGCCTCAGAGCACATTGGTGGACAGTGTGACCAAGATTTTGGATCAAAAAGAAAAGGTAATCCACACAGGTAGAGCTCTAAAGAACTCGCCACTTTGTGCTTGACCTGGTTAAAGGGCTAGATCTGTTTGTTGCAGCACACAACCTAATGCAGAAAACACCTATTTGTTCAGTTGGGAGTTCTTTCAGAGGGAATTTCTACAGTAGCTATGGTGACCATCTGCCTGGCTGGAAAACAGCACTGCTGGACGGGGCAGCCCCACTGCTGACCTTCATGCACCACCCAGCCCTCGGAGCGAGCCTCTCTTGGCTGTCCTCAGCAGCAGGGCAAACAACATGGCAATGACTGCCCACAACATGATGGGAAGTCTGTGCTGGACTGGTGAGCTGCCAAGAATTCTGGAGAGGGGACCTGGTGTGCAAACAGATGGAAACAGTGAGGGCAAGGGGAGAGAAGGAGTGATGACAGGTCACTTAAGCCCTTACCCTCTTAGTTAGTCCCTTTTGTCCCACTTCCTCCCTGACTGCCAGTGACATTGTGACAGCTGTTGTCCAGCTTGGCACAGCTTCTGTCAGTTGTTGCCTCTGTCACTCACAAGGTTTGACCAGTTTCAGTGTTGATGAGCCCAGCATCTTCATGTTTAACATAGGATCCTCTGGATCCTCCCGGTCTCCTCCATGCCACAGCTATGATGGAGAGACATTAAGAAATTAGTATTTTCAGGTACCGTGAAGGAGAATCAAAGCTATGTTTCAACTAAATATAAAGAGAACGCAACTTACAAGGAACTGTGCTGGGAGAAAGTCATGGCAAACATTTGTTACTACACTGAATGTCTTGATAAATTGTATTTGCAAAAACATTTGAGGAAGTTCTCAGTGTAACAAACACCTATCCCTACAGGTACCCTGATCTGAACATTAAACTGAAATATAGAGATCAAAATGAGATTTACAGAAACTATTTTTCTTAGTGACAATAAATAGCTTTCAGTTCATGTTCTTAACTGAAGTTTTGAAGGTTTATTTGAAATTAAACAGCATCTGCAGTTTGGTAGATCAACTTGGTAATCTATGTCATGATCATTATTAAACTGATAATTATTAAACTATTAACCAAATGTCTGCAAAGGACATCTCTTTTTTTGACTGGTGCTGTGAAAAGAAATTAAAAATTGTAATGGGGGGAATAAATGTCAAGTTATTTACATAAGAGTCCTTTAGGACACTACGATTTCCCCAACATATAGACAAATGGAACAAGTACCACAGCTGATACTGGTGGCCTAATGACCTCAGCTCTTGGAGGTCTAAGGTTTGACATGGACTTCTAGAGCAACTATTCAAAACTAATCATGTATGCCACCGATGAACAGGCACAATAAGCCAGAAGTACACGACCTTTTCTGCAAGTTTGTTTGAAATGCAAACAAGAATCCAACTGCTCAGTGAAGCTAAGCCTCTTTAGTTTAATGAAGAGCAATTATCTTCCATTTCTTCCCATAAAATTGTGGCAACAGAGTGTCTGCTTGTTTTCAGTGTCATACAGGAGTTCAGTGGCGTTTAACAGTGTTAACAGAATTAGCAATTGCAGAGTTGATCTTGTTCCACCCTCTAATCTCTTGCCAACACGACTCACCCCATTAGCGTTCATATGACACTGTTTCAATCACACTGGACTCCTCTGTGCAGAGTCAAGGACCTAATCAAATACATCATCAATCAATCTGTGTGCCAGATACAAACAGCAAGCAAAAGACTGCTTTGTGTCCTACACAATTGCCTTTTTAGAAGACAAGTGAACCATTGGTTTCTAAGGGCATGTAACACATAAGTAATGGGTGACGGGCCTGCACGATGCGCAAGAGCCTGCGGTGCTGTGAAGAAACCTTATGACTGCATTCCTGAAGAGGAACATTTCTGATGGGTTACTCAGCTTGCCCTGACTGGTGTTTTGGAATTAAGACAGTACAGAGGAATTTAAGTTACAAAACACAGAAGTGGGCAGCTCTTTGGCTTTAGCATCGCTGAGCTTTTATGAAGGACAAACTTTATTGCTACAGAATTCCACTCCTCTCTGCAGAGCAGAAAGGAAAGCAACAAACCAGCAATGGTTTTTAAACACCTCTGCTTCCCAAAAGGCAGCAAGAGAGATAAGTGACATCCATCCTTGTTTTGTCTCCTTCTTTTGGGGACAGCAACTACAGCCTTGAGATACTTAAGACGCTACAAGGAGACCAAGTTGAGAGCAAGTTATATGGGCAAATGTGGTCACATTCTTTTCTGACACGGTCAGCCACATCACTTCACTTTGTTATGCTGTAAAAAAGTTCCAGAAAAGCAAACATAATGCACACGTCATTAAAGCTTTGACATAGACTACGTAATCAAATAATTTTAATGATCATATAAATTGCATCATACAACTTGGATCCTATTCCTATGTGGTAAGAATATACTCACCATGAAACCTTAAGCACTGATAGTCCCAACTGATGCAATTAAGGAATTAATTTTGCTAAAATTACTGTTAAAAAAGAAATTACTTATATCTTAGATGAGCAGGAAACACTACAGAGAATCACTTCAAAGCCTGTATTAGCACATGCCAAGTAAAATTCAACTGATACAACCATGTAGAACTTCAACCATATGGAATATAATAATGAAACCGCCATAGAAAAATGTTAGTCTTTATGGCAGTGCCTTCCTTCGTTATAAAATGGAACCTGGTCAAATCCTGTAAAACCTATGCACCTTTAGGGATGCTACACCCAGCAATTTACTTTGATGTAATTACTCCCAAGGATACCTTCCCTGCTGTTCCATTTTAAACTTAATCTACTTAGTTTTATGTAGAAGACTTGTGGAAAAATCCTTCAGATATTTTTGCAGTAGAAATATGAATAGGAACTTAAACATGTTCCTGTAAATTTGCTTTATAGCATCTACTGACAGACTGAAACACTTACTATTAGCTAACATGAAAAAATTCCAGTATCATTACTGCAGCAGCAGCAGCAACTCCACACCTCTGGAAACCAATCTGGCTGGTGTTCAAACATAATAAACAATGGCCCATTACAAAGACTGACGCAGTTTTAAATATCTTTATTTAAATAGTCAAAATAAATATTGGATAAGATATAGCTAACCAAAGTACCACAGATCTCGAAGTAACATGAGTGCCACCTTCTGGTTTAGACATGAAAACACCGTGGGTCATGCCTCTTGCATTCAAAACTTTTAACTGCAGGGTGTTTTTTTGAGGTTTTTCTTTTTTTTTTTTTTTTAAAAGAATGTTTATCTTCAACATTCACAGAATGTTACAAGAACAAAAATAGTTAAAAGCAAGAATTCAGTGAGACTTGCTTATCTTTAGTGCTTGGAGCAAAGTAAGTATATAAATGCCGTACAAGTATTTTACCCCAAATTTAACTTCACAAATGTCAAATCCTACTAAAACATGTGAATGACCATTATTTTAAATATTTAAATGCAGTGGCTTGTAATACAAGCAGTAGTCTTGGAATCAATGTGCTTTGGAGGATACTCTTCCAATTCTTTTCTAGCCTAAAAAAATGCCTTTTTATTAAGTGAAATTTGTGAGCATTTCCTATACAGGAAATGACAGAAACTAACAAAGGAAGACTGAGAAATTCAGGAAACATACTACTACAAATGGCACAAAGAACTGCAACCCATTTTGTATTTGCTGCAACAGTCCAATCACAAAGTTGTTGACAAAATATGAGTAAACTACACCTTTTGAGTTGAGGTCCATTTGCACTTTACTAGTTCTGCAGGGGGTAAAATAAGTTTCACTCCTTTTGTTTCATTTCACAGAATGCCCACAAAAGTTCATCGCTATTATGTCAGAGAGTCATTTGAAAACAGCTACCAGAGCTGTACCGAAGCAACTACAATTTAAGAAACTAATTTGCCCCAACTCACATGATAAACCCACAGCAGATATAAATAAAACTGCAGCTTCTTTGTGCTTACAGCGGTAAAAACAATTTACCAACAGCATTGCTTCTGGGTCTCTTATTTCTCCCTCTGTTCATTGTAGACTTTAAGTACATGAGCCCACATCCCAGGTGACACCACACAGCATCTAAGCTGTAATTCTGTATGGCACCATGTCACACAGTCTTCTAAATTCTGTCTCCCAGCGTTTCAGCTCCCTGTGCCTTTTCACACTGATAAACGCCCACACATTGCCTGCTTCTCTCCAAAGGCTAAGAAGCCACTGCTAGATAAATGCCTTAATTTCACAACTCCGCACACTTTTCTGTGTCTTAACTTCCTGTCGATTAGGATCATATTCCTCAATTCTTTGGGAATATCTATGGTAACTTATATACTTTATAAAATGTATAACCCTTTCAAACAAAACCCGTTTATGTGTTGATGTCCCAGCAAAATCTCATTCAAATCACAATGACAGCCAGTTATTGCACTTGTATCTCACAGCAGTGAGCGCTTCCAGAAGGACCATGTCTTTCCAAAGTTGCCATTCCCGTACTTTCTCACTCTAAAGTAGCAACAGTTCATGATGTATTCATCAGCATTTAATCAATTCCTTGTTTGTCAAAGGTTCTGCAACGACTTCATCACGCATGAACTGCTCCTAAAGACAGCAAATAAAGTTTTAGTTGATTTTCATTATTTTTGGATCGTCTTTCCCTCAACAAATAGAAGATAATCTAGTCTTGTTTTCTAGCCTGGGTATAACTAGTATGTAACTGTCTGTCAAAACATGAAACCCATAACACACCTACTAAGTAAGAAAATCTATTAGGCTAGCTGACAGGGCTACTAGAGTTATAGGTAGATCGTAATGTCATTGAGACTGTTTGGTCTATGTTCCAGCCCACCGTCACCCAGGCAAACGTGTTAAAACTCAAACACGGCAAGAGGAGACCAGAAACATAAGAGATGAGGCTGCAGCTCTAGTCACAAACAAAAGAGTTGTCAGCCAACACAACCCTAGCCCGTATTTACCAGGGACTTTTATTAAAAGGTACCACGGCGCCTTCCTTAGGGGATGGCGAACCGAGCCCCCGCCAGGGGAAGCTGCCCGCCACTGTGCCCGACAGCCTTCTCCCCGCACCCACCTGGTCGTAAATGACGCGGACGATCAGGGAGCAGCTGGGGCAGGTGGCCACGTCCTCGCCGTTCTCCAGGTCCTCCTGCAAACAGCCCGCGGGAAGCAAACAGTCACCGACCCACAGACAGCGGCGGAGGTGGGGCTGCGGCCTAACACTGTTCCCCCCTACGCATACGCACACACACCTCCCCCTCCCCGTCCTTGCGCGGCCGCCGAGTGATGAGGAAGCGGTCCCCGCAAGGGCACGGGTAGCTGTAGGTCTCGGTCTCCTCGTCGTACTCGAAGTCCTCGATCTCCACCTCATCGTGGAAGACCGCCATGGCTCCGG